CCCGAACAACCATTATAATTAGTTTGATTACATTCAAGCCTGGACTAATATATTTCTTCATCAAACGACTGATTTCAGCCATTCATGGCTTGTAACCTTTGACAGAATTTCAGGCTAATCTTTCCAGCATGGTTTCCCAATTGCTGGTCAGTCCATGGTCCAACAGCCAGCTTACTACCTGAATAACGCATGCAGGTTCTATCATCTGGTTTCCAGCAAAGATTTCACAGAAGACGGTTCGATGGCAGAATTACCCTTATATCATTGTTCATGGCCAAATACAAGGTCCCCTGGATCTTCCGATGGAACTACAAAGCTGAAACAGGCCAAATCTACAGGTCCCGATGGGTCAATGGTGGGACAAATTCGACTGCCAAAAAATTATCAGTCTAGTCTCATCCGAGTTTCCAGTTGCTCCTATTCCAATGGTGCCTCCACCAGCTCAAAATGCATTGCCAGAAATCCCAGAAAACACTCAATCTTTATCGGACATTAGTCATTCATCCTCCCTTAAGAGCAAATCAAAGTCATCCAAATTATCCAAAACAACACATTCAAAGAAGATAGAAAAATCTTCACAACTCCAAGAAATGGCAGATAAGCTTATGGCAGAAGCAACCTTGCTGCTCAAAGAAGAAGAAGAAACAGATTCAGATTCATCTGACGCTTCGTCTCAACCTGTCAAGTGGTCTGACTATCAAGATTCTTAGGATCCATTTGAATTTTGAATTTTTCAAAATGTAATAGATTATAATCATTTCAAGGGTTTTACCCATGTAAATCACACAGTTCTAGCCATGTGATCAGCAGTAGCAGTAATCATTCCAACAAGAAACTATTCATCAGCAGTAGTTGCAGACAAGTCACTATTCATAAATAGTAAAACCATTTTTACTATTTATCCTGCTTTTCAGAAGACAGAATGTGAATCCATAATGAAAGTTTCATCATTTGCCAGCCTTTAACAACTAGCATCACATGCAAGCGGGAATCCCAGCTAATCCCTGCTCAATTATCTCAGTCTCAATCATTCCTCTCAGCAGGATAAAAGAAGAGCTCATTCTAAGAGCAAGGGGACTCTAGTCGCCATTAAGCTGTAACTTCTGCGAAATCTCTAAACACAGAAGTGATCTAGCTTCATCCTAATATCAAATACCAAACACTTGTATTTTAATTTTCAATCAAGGATGCCTGCAAGCACCATCTGTTTTCTTATCAATCGTTAGTAGACGAAACTGTAAGTTGGTTTCCAAATTTGAAATAAAACATGTTTTCAAATTATATCTCTGCATCATTAACTTAAATTCATTACTTTCATTATGAAAAATATTTTCATCACCACTTACTTTAATTGGCATTTATGTTTATCTCCCAATCAATTTATTGAGTATCTCAAGTATAAGGTAAATACCGATCAATCATTCGTCCAATTCTTCTTATTTGTTTAGCATAATTGGTATCATGGCATATTCAACCCAGAAGTTCATGAACCTCATCTTATTCCTTTTCCATCTAACATCTTTGAGGATAACTATGATGGTGATTGCCTATTTCATAATCATATATAGCGTCCGCCCCTTGCTCGATGTTTAATTGTCTGCAAAGGTAATGAAAGTAGTCAAGAAACAATATTATTAGTGATGGTGCAAGCATGTGAAATTGTAAATATAAAATCCCAACATGGTAAAAGTAAGACTTTTCGTTTAGGTTACCATATGCTTTATACAAATCATTATGTTGAAATAAGTTTGATAAGTGAGAAGAACTAGTTAATTATTAAAAATTAATTAAACTATCAAAGTAAGAGAACAAGAATGATGATTATAAAAAGAATAATGTTTGGCTACTTAAGGATGAGTAGGAAATCTTATTCAAAACTCTTCATGTTTAAATTATAGAGGTTTGTGCTTATGTTCATAATTGTTCATATTATAAATCACTTTGTAAATATTATCTTTGCAAGCAAAACCAAAAACAAAACAAAAACAAAAAAAAAAAAAAAGAATTGCAACTAAAGTTGTTTAGTCAATCTATTGTAACAAATAGATAGACGGTTCGTAATGGTTTTACCAATTCCGTTAATCTATTTTTATACAGTTTGATGACTAAACAACCTTAATTTTAATTGACTTTTTGCAAAGGTGATCTTTATAGTATCGTTTGGTATGCAGACGGGACGGGACGAAACGGAATGGGACGGGACGGGATGGGACAGGATGGAACGGAACGGAGCGGGAGTAAAGATGCCCTCGGATGGAACAATGAGGAAAAAGAAGGAGACAGAGAGGTTATAATTTTGTATTCCACGGATGTGGAACGAGTCGTTCCAGGGGGTTGAGGCGGAACGAAAATTCACCCAAAACTCGTCCCGTGGAAGAGCTCGTTCCACCCATTTTAGGCGCACCAAACGTGGGACGGAACGCCTTGTCCCACTCTGTTCCGTCCCGTCCCACGTACCAAACGGTAGAATGATTTATAATATGAACGATTATGATCATAAACACGAAGTTATATGAATCGGCAACGAATAGTTTTTTACTAAATGAGTTTAGTTTTAATTGATTTTTATTTGCAAATGATCTCTTAATTTGAATTTATACAATGAACGGTTCTGATCATAAGTAAATCGGTCACAAAGTGTTTTGAGGAAGACTTCCTTCAAAACTTTGAGTATCCAAGTATTGTTCTTCATTTTGCTCTTGAATGGGATCCATGACAAGGGTTAAAAAATAAAAGAAATGTCCAGTCTTGTAGGTCTCGCTTCTATTACAAAGTGCATAATTTTGTGTGTCTAAATAATTTTATTGTGAAAAAATGTATTATATGAAATAATTTCATGATATAATTATTAAGAATAGAAAAACGTTGCTAGATATTTTAATTTCATGATGACCCTAATTAATCTGCTAGTTTTATTCTTGCCCACAATAATTCTCATGTGCAATGCTTAAGTTGCGGAGTTCTTTATATTGGTTTGAGTGGTTTAGATCCATCATAATATGAGTAATACTATTCTTACCACAATTTTATATCATATTTCTTTACCATCTTAGATGGCAGATGATTTGAACAAGTTACATCATTTAATTTCAATCTTTTTTATTAATTAAAACACTTAAATAATCTTAGGTGGTAGAAGGAGACTCCTCACATACCACAATAATCATTTAATTAACAATCTTTTTATTAATTATTGATTAACATTTTGAAATTAAATGCTAATTAATTTAGATGATGTGGCTGTCCACATCAAATGCCACCTAAGATGATATACAATTATGGTACAAAAATATGGTAAGAATAGCATTATGTGGTATAATAAGATGGTAAGAATAGTATTATTGTTTTACAAATCATATGGGTGACCCAATTACTAGTAAAACTCGAAAACCAGAAACTCATCACTTGATGAGCATTGAGAACAAACTGGTTTAATCATCAAAAGAAAATTTGGTGATTTGAAACATGAAAATACCCGAAAGCCGCCACCTGGTTACTTGATCGATTTTCTACTAAAAGATAAAGCCGTCCCATAACAGAAGCTGCGAGTTTGGGTGTGACAAAAGATATATATGAAAGCCACGGAGGAAGATGACTCCGACCCTTTGCTGGGGAGTAGAAGAATTGAAAGGCAAAAAGCGAAGAGAATGAGTGGTTTGATGGTCTAGCAACTTTTAACGTCGAATTACAGGAAAGAAAACAAGAATTGAAAGGCAAAAAAGTGAAGAGAATGAGCGTTTTGGTGGTCTAGCAACTTTTAACGTCGAATTACAAGAAAGAAAACATGATGAAAATGCAGCTCCAATGCATGGAGAAACATCTGCATAAAAGGTATGGTTTTTTCGCCTCTCATTACGCGCATGTTTAACCAATTTGTAACTCAATTAATTAAGAACTTTGTTCTCCAATGTTCCATGTACGAGAAGGTTGGAAATTGATGATGTTTGACTCGATGAAACCCTAGCTAAAGAATCTTCTCCTCGTACGTCACGTGACGTGACGTGGAGGTTGGGCAAATGGCAACCCAACTCGCTTGTTGGTACATCACGCGACGAAATCACTATACATTTTCCTTTCGTGATCGTAACTACGTGCATGTACATGTACAAAATAAAATTCATTTCGTTTATTTCCCAGAAAAAAAGTTTGTCTTGGAATTTGGATTTTGCATGCCGGCGAATACTACGCGTTACATTGGATACTTTTCCAATACTTCATTATTCGATTTCGATTTTCCTTGTTTGCTTTTGCACTACTACCCCGCAAGGAAACTACGAGCAATGACCATTTTTCATTATGGAGAAAATTACAAATTGGAATACTTGGTACAATCCGGGTTTCGTTTTGAAAGATTCCTTTCAAATATTAGTAATCATCGTCAAGGATATTATGGAATATTGTCTTGCATGATTCAAAACAATTCAAACAAACTCACCATACTCGATTAATCTTAACTTGGATAAAGTTTTATTAAAAAGAAAAGAAAAATTCGAAACTCAAGCGTGTAATTGACACGTGAAACAACTTATAGATCATCACCATGACCTCCCGTCCAAATGATACAAGCCATGTGGAGAGAATTTCCTTCTGGATTGTTTCTTAGGTAGGCCTCTCATAAGTCTTCCTCTTCCTACTTATATGTGTTAGTGAGTACTATGTAATTGGAAGTTGAGTAACGATAAGAAGATTAAATTTGTAAACTAAATTTTGTAAACTAAATAATATAGAAATTGATAATTGGATTATTACTTAAACGTTGATAAACGTGCTCATTTCTTATTGATGAAAAATCATTTAGTTCGCAAATTTAGTCTTCGTAGCATTACTCATTACGATGTTAGGTTTTGAGAGTGATTCAAACACAAGTTGAATCTTCTCCCATTATTAGTTGAGTTTACTTTTCTTCTTCTTCTCTCAAATTTTATACTATTTCATTACGATGTACTAATATTATTTTTCGCTTACAAGTTAAAGGTCTCAATAATAAATCTTAGTCCTAATAGGTTCGACTCTCATAAATTATAATTTCTATGCGATTCTTCTACCTCAATATTATATAAGTATAGTAGTAAAAGAGTATTCACTAAAAAGACATTGGGAGAACAGGAAGCGGGGCTGGGAAGACAACGCCAAAAGCACCAACCAGCCACTTGCCGCTGTAAATTCAACAGCGCCCACCGCCTGTAAAACTTTTCTTCTTCTTTATTCAACCAAACTCTCTCCAGTCTCCCCGCGATTTTTTCAGACTGACACAGAAATGGAATTTGCCACCAAATGGCTGGGATTCGTCACCGCCGTCTGGGTCCAAGCTATTTCCGGCAACAACTACACTTTCTCCAACTACTCCGCCGCCCTCAAAACCCTCATGGGCCTCACCCAGCTTGAACTCAACAACCTCTCCGTCGCCAAAGACGTCGGCAAAGCCTTCGGTCTCCTCGCCGGGCTGGCTTCCGATAAACTGCCGACCTGGGTCATCCTCCTCATCGGCTCCGTCGAGGGTCTCGTCGGCTACGGCGCCCAGTGGCTCGTCGTCAGCGAAAGAATCAAGCCCCTCTCCTACTGGCAGGTAAATAAAAAAAAAGAGAAATTAGGTTATCATCATTCCTTTTACTACTAGATTAAAATCCTATTTATTTTCAATTTTTGATCAAGGTGGTATTAGTAACATCATTAATTATTTCAATAATAAAATATTTTTTTATTTCTAAATATATTCATTTAATGTTAAAAATGTTACAATTAGTATATTTATATTTATGACTAAATTTGTTATCATATATTTTTAGTTTTAGTTTGTACCCATTTTTAATTTGTACCAATTTTCTTTTCAGTTTTAATTTGTACCCATATATTAATTTCTTTTTGTGCCCATATATTTTGAAAGTTTATTTGTATTTGTACCCATATATTTTTTTTATTTGTACTTTTATTTTGCTAAATGTACCCATGCTAATTATATGTACCCATTCATGTAAAAGTTTTTAATCTTAAAATGTACTCATTCTTAAATATACAAATTTGTTATATGTAAAATATACAATTTTTTTATATAAAATCTATTCAATTTTTTTCTAATCCATTTTTAAACTTATATGGGTACATTCTTTTTTTCTTTGATTTTAAAATGTATCCATGTCAAGTTTAATCGAAGAAATTTACTAATGTTATTAAGCCTAATATCTTTTCTTTTCTTTTCTTTTTTGTGATTTTGAAGAATGTACCCATGTTTTGATACAATTAATTTTTTGGAATGTACCAATGTTTATATATATACACATACACAATAGTATATTTGTATTTTAATATTTGTAATCCCACAAATTATAGTTTTTTTTATTTAAAATCTCATTTATATAAACAACTAAAATTTCTAATTTTTAATTTAAAAAATATAGTAACGTACATAGAAATAAATTATTACATTAATTTCAAGGACATTGATCAAAAATTAAAAACCAACAAGATTTCAATCAAAGAAAATTCATAACTAAGGACTGCATTTAAAGTCTCCCATTAAAAAATCGGTCGGCACTTTCGTGGAACACTAAAGAGTGCAATCAAACTAACAATTAGTTTAATTTTTCTCTCAGATGTGTATATTTCTCTGCATGGGCGGCAACAGCACGACGTGGATGAACACGGCGATTCTCGTCACATGCATCCGAAACTTCCGGCGAAACCGGGGACCAGTTTCGGGGATTCTGAAGGGCTACGTGGGTCTCAGCACCGCCATCTTCACCGAACTCTGCGCCGCTCTCTTCAACAACGACCCCGCTAGCTTCCTCCTCATGCTCACCGTAACCCCCTTCGCCGTGTGCGTAACCGCCATGCTCTTCCTCCGCGAGGTCCCCCCTTCTTCCTCCTCCTCCCAAGACAACCGCGACTCCAGATACTTCTGGGTCATCAATGCCGTCGCCGTCTGCGTCGCACTCTACCTCCTCGCCTACGACTTCATCCCAAACCCTTCGAACCTCTTGTCCCTAATCTTCTCCGTCATTCTGTTAATCCTCCTGGCGTCGCCGCTCGCGATTCCTGCGTACGAGTTTTGCACCGCGTGGGCCTCGAAGCCGGACCTGGTCGCGTCAGAGTCAGGTCCAGATCCAAACACCCGATCTGACGAGCCACTTTTGAGGCAGACGGCAGCGGACGACACACAGCACAAGCCAGAGGTGGCTGCTGCGGCGGCGGAGGTGGTGGAGGCGAAAAGGAGGCCGGTGCTCGGGGAGGACCACACCATCTTCGATGCGATGGTGACGTTGGATTTCTGGATTTTGTTCGTGTCGTTTTTGTGCGGGGTGGGGACGGGTCTGGCGGTTATGAACAATATGGGGCAGATTGGATTGGCGCTCGGATACGTGGACGTGTCGATCTTCGTTTCGCTGACGAGCATTTGGGGTTTCTTCGGGCGGATCGGTTCGGGTATGATTTCGGAGTACTTCATCAGGTTGTTTTACTCAACGCCCACTCTTCCTCTTTACGTATACTTCATCAGGAGAATTAAACTAACTATTATTCATATTTTTTTTGCTACGCTTTTTTTCCTTATTTTTTTTTAAACTATTTTTGAAAATGTCAAGTAAAACCAGAATTATCCTTTTTCAGAAGTGTTTGTTAGAAATTATATGTAGTATCTTTTGGGGTATAATTCTGAAGAAGTATAGGAAGATTCGGATTTTTCCAATAAAATTTTCAAACTAGGAATTAATTAGAGCATGACAATTGAGAGGATAGCCGACGGCCTTCATTGTATAATATCTATGCTTGGAAAATCCACAAGCCTTCATTGTCCGAAGATTTTTGCCAACTAACTTTCGGTGGCATACTAATGTGGCCTAAGAAAATCAACCAACATTTCACACTTCTGGTCCCAAATGTAATGTCAGGAAAGCTGCAATACCAAGACCTCTATGGAATGCTGCTTCTCAGATTCTAATGGCTGTTGGCTACATCCTCATGGCCATTGCCATGCCCGGTTCGCTATACATCGGTTCGATCGTCGTTGGCATTTGCTATGGAATTCGTCTTGCCGTCACAGTCCCCGCCGCATCTGAACTATTTGGTCTCAAGTGCTATGGAATTATTTACAACATTCTAATCCTCAACCTTCCACTGGGCTCCTTCCTCTTCTCCGGCTTGCTTGCCGGACTATTGTACGACATGGAGGCTACCACCACGGAAGGAGGTGGCAACACCTGCGTCGGCGCACATTGTTACAGGCTCGTGTTCGTCATCATGGCCATTGCCTGTGTTATTGGGTTTGGTTTGGACATTTTGCTGTCCATTAGAACCAAGAATCTTTACACGAGGATTCAAGCTGGCAAGAAAACAAGGAGAGTGGTTAATGGCACACAGTAGGGTAAACAAATGTAGCACTTGGTCCCTTTAAATTTTGGTTTGATGTAATAGGTAAATTAGACTATTTTATAGGTAAGAATTGTGCGGAATATATGGCTTTTGTTTTGTGTATTAAGGATTTGAATATTAGCTGAAGCTGTTTTAGGTTTATTGTTTTGTTGGTAGGTAAATTAACTTATATATGTAATGCACAAAATTATGAAATTAGTATTATTATTTTTCAATTGGCACGTTATAACAATTTGAAAGTTAATACATTGAATATACAATGACTGGCATGAATTATTTTGTAAACTATATAAAATTAATTAAATAGATATAACAAGTAACTGATCCAAAAACCTCATCCAAGTATTAATTGGGGTAGTTTAGGCATTCGAAAAATACACAATTTGAAAAGTCAAACTTAATTAAAGAATTTGTTTAGTTGGAGGCTAGTCAACGAGCTTTATTCAAGAAAACAAAAGGAGATGGGTTTTAGTAGAGGAAAATATAATTTCAAGCGGTAATATCAAATTTTCAGTTTATTTTAAGTTTGAATTTTCTTTCCATTAGTTTTAGAAAATGTTGGACTTGGGAGGTGAGGATTGATGGGCTTAATTTTAGTCCAGTGATATCCTCCATTTAGAATTTGAATTAAGTTGGATTTGTGAATTTTTGAGGCCTGCATTATGTTTGATGGGCTTCCTTGGGCTGCGAAATTTGTATTGATTAGTTCTTGTTGTATTTAGTCTGTAATTTTTTTGATAATCGGATTACATTCCCACCAATGGGGTTGGCTTTACGTATTTACCAACCATTCTTTGTTTCTTTTTTGGCCTCTATCTAACATTAAAATATTTTAGTATTGATCCATGATCTTGTCACAATTTGAAGTAATGATCCTTCCGAGTTATTGTTTTACAACTTTTGCTCAAAATAAAAGGTTTTAAGGGAAAACAAGGACATAATTATTATGGAGCTGTCTAAAAAGACCATTGCACCACATTTCGATAGGGTTAGGAACCAATACTCTTCAAAAATTTTAATCCATGAGCCAAGCTCTAATTGAAACAAAGTTTAAAAATCAATACTCCAATTTTCTCTAAATTAAATACCAAATGAAAAATGCTATTTTCATCTTAAATACGTACTAAACATTTTTGTTTTTAAGTTTTAGTTCAGTTGGAAAAGCTTTCACCTCAATTTAAATTAGTTAAAGTAGACGATGACTTACCACTAATGCTAGTCTTAGTTTCAACTCTAATTAATGTCGAGTTCTATACCAAATTATGATTGACTTATTATGTTACTTAACCAACCATCACAGGATCCACTTCTCGTGGTCAACATTCGGCCGAATTACATCTAAACCCAATTGTTAAATATTAACCCGTGTCATCTTTTAATTGCATTTGTTGTGACATACATTTGGAAACTAACAATTGTTTGTGTTTCAAAAAACCCAAGAAGAGTTTTGAGCCACTTAAAATGCAACGTAGAAAAACAATACAATACAATACAGCATGTAGATCTATACCTATGGTTTTCTCTTATATACTGTGCACGAGTGACAGGTCAAAGCCATCATTGGTCAACCCGTGAAGGCTTTCTGCATAAACACATAGAAACGTACATATCACAAGACTTGCAGCCAAAGCATCCTGCCACGTATGGTACTCTAATCCCTTAAAAGGGCTTTTTGATGAGCCGGTTAAGATAAGCTGTGATTTTTTTTTTTTTTTTTTCTGAACATACGATATTATCTATATTAAAAAAGAGAATAATAAACTTAACTTTATAATGAACTAACAATAATTTGATTTAAATTTGTATCGAACCTAAAATAGAACTATTCTGCTAAGTTGTTTGTTGTGTCATAATAGAATTTGGACAGGATGTGTTGGTGAGTCCAGAATAGAGTGGTAACAAATCCTAACACGGTTACAAATCCCATTTCGAGGCAACGGCGCTCGATCTTCCTCTCCTCCCTGTGTCATCAATATCAATTCTCTCTACAGGCCTCCTCTCTCTCTCTTCGCAAGCGGCGTTCTGGATGGGTCATTGCAAGCAGAGTCGTGTGCGGGTCCTGAGCAGTGACCGACGATATTCTGGTGCAATTCAGTTCAGAGGGTACAGAGATTGACTACTGGTTCACTTGCAGCAGCGACTGCAGATCGAATTCGGGTTCAACGCCGCATCGTCTTCCGTCGTGAGCTGTCTGGAAACAGGGGCTGGTGGAGATTTCTTCTGTGAATTGTAGTGAGCGTTTGAAATTGAAGAGCGTGGAAAGGAGTGAGGTGGAGGGAAAGAACAATGGAGACGACGAGATGGTGAGGAGGAGCTTGCAATTTCATGGTGGAATTATAATGGCGGAGTGATGTTTTTTGGTTTTGGGTTTGTTTTTATGGTGGAATTTTAATGGCGGAGTGATGGTAGAATTTTAATGGTGGATTGATGGTTGTTGGGTTTTTTATTTTTTCTGTGAGTTTTGGTTGGATTGGAAAGACAGAGATTGGGAGACGGTGGAATTTTAATGGCGGAGTGATGGTTGTTGGGTTTTTTATTTTTTCTATTTGTTTTGGTTGGATTGGAAAGACAAAAATTGGGAGATGGTGGGATTTTAATGGCTGAGCGATGGTTGTTGGGTTTTTGATTTTTTCTTTTTGTTTTGGTTGGATTGGAAAGACAGAAATTGGGAGAGACGGAGGAGGAGAGAGAGGGTGGAGTGAGAGAGGGAGTCGGAGAACGTCTAGTCTAGTCAAACTTGGATTTGAGATAATTTTATAAGGCTTTAAAATTCTAGTGTAGTCAATTAAAAGATTATAAAGGATTTTAGATTCCATTCAAATTTAGATGTAGTTAATTAAAAGATTTTAAAGGATTTTAAAATCCATTCAAATCTAAGTGTATTAAAAAAATTAAGATGTTGGAAGATTTCAATAAATTGTGGATTTTGTGAGATTTGAGAGTTATAACCAAGACTAAAAAGAATCCAACATCACCCCCTAGAATTTCAAATCCTTCCACCACAATCCATTCAAATTCTTTAAAATCCATATGAATTTTGTAGAAATCTTTAATCCTCTTAAATCCTATAAAATCTATCATTTTTAAAATCCTTTAAAGTCTTAGTTTGACTAAACCACCAAATAATAGATTAATATTACAAGTATGGATGACAATCCAAACAGTTAAGCTCGATAATCGTGGATAACCGTCTGAATGAAACGGATTTAAGAATGAAAATTTGGTTATATTTCGGATATGGGAAAAATTAAAAATATTATTCGAATATGGTTAAAGGGGTCCTTGATCTGTACCCGCTCACGAAACTGACCCTAATAATAGATATTATATATAATAAATATAGTATTGTAATATAATATATATATATATATGTATATTCACCGAACCCATTAACTTGAGAATTAGAATCAAAACCAATAAGATTAAGAAGTTTTGAATCAAAACCAATAAGAATCCAAGGTGCTTATGGAAGAGATCAAACATAAGCCAATATCATCAATGTATCTATTATTATAATGATGAAATTAGTATGTATCATATTATAATGCCTCAATTGAATGAATATTTTTTTTGTATTGATGAAGATAGTTATAACCGTTAACCATTGGGGAATCCGTTACACGATAAGTATGGTTATGGATAATCGTTGACGGTTAATTTACGGTTATGGATTTAATTAATTTTCATAGTTATAGGGATGAATATAACATTTTCGTCTCCAAACCAAACCATTGACATCCCTAATTAAAAGCCTAACCAATCCAATTTTATTCCTATTGTCTAAGCCCATTCAGCCCACCAAACAGAGCCTAAGATTTTGAATCCCCCTCTCAACGAGAAATTAATTCTTTCATGTCCCAATTTCATTACTTGACAATTATTCATTTTGACGGTAATGCACTTTTAGACATATAACAAATGTCATTGAACAATAATATCACTAAAACTAAAACTTATTCGCGGGAGAGAATCTCTCCTAATCTAATTAAAGTCATTCTATGTAACAATTTTGGATTTGTTGTACATTTTCTCACACAAGTCATTCTATTCTTAATTGGCACAAATAATTAGCCAAACCCTTGGTTTGTATTTTTCAAATAGGCCAAGCTGCTAGTAAAAAGAGGTCACCAATTGTGACACAATTACCTTATTATTGTAATTATACGTAGCTAACTGTTAAATTGTAACAGTGACATAAAGCTTTACTTTTTATGATATACAACCCAGTTGCTACGTACTGCTAATTCCAATCCAGTACTTACAAAGACTCCAAAAAAATATTCACGAGTCCTCCGTACGCAGTTGGGAGCCAAGTCTAATCCCCTCAATAGTTAAGTTCTTAAATAGTTTAAACATGAAGTTAAGTAGACTAAACACAGAAACGACTTTGTGTGTGACCCGTAATATCAGATGATGTTACTCATTCATATTGGTATTGGGTGATGAGTTTATATTTTATATGTGACGTTAATACATAAAAACATGATATATCATGACTCAACTAGGCCAATTCATCTAGTTAGTGAGTGTACATAGTTGCCCCTGTCCACCTGTATTGCTACACGTGAAACTTACTAACGATTTTGATATTCTCCTTAATCGTCACTACTACAGAAATAAGATGTCTGACAAAATGTTTCAAAGAGATTGATGTATGGTAACTAGTAAGTAACGAGAGGCAGACTACATCTTTACCCTTCTTAAAAAAAAATTTGAATCCGCCACTAACACTACGTGGTGGTGGTGTTACGATTAACAACGAATATCATGACCATGTTCTTCTCCACATAAAAAACAAGAATGAATTCACGTTTGGAATGTTTGATGCGTCCATGAACTAATGGCCATCACATGAAGCTTTCACGCTCACACAAACATGTGACCAGCCCACGGACTCCTCAGTGTCCCCTTCGGGCACTGTAACCCTTGTGACCTCCACCTCCTCATTTTCAACTACGTTCTTTTATTTGAACCTTCCATTATTTTGGATTATATTTGACCTAAAAATAAAAGAAGTGGTCCAATATAAACTCTTCTTACTTATAAATTAAACCCATAACCTCAAATTTTCATATTCCATTCTAACAAAAAGTAATATATTTGGCTGGTCTGCATAAGTTTTTCTTTCTTTGTTTTAATGAGTTATACCTGTATATACGTATCAAACTGCAACTTGTAAGAAAGATAAATGACTCTATCTCAAAAAGTAGCGAAGCAGTGTCCCTTATAAAAGCCGTTTCAGATTTGCAGTAGTAGAACATTACACAACTCAGCCTCCAACCTCCGAGCAAAAATGGAAGACACAAATATCACATTTAGCTTCCTATTGTTCTTCTTTCTCCTCGTGGACTCCTCCTCCTTTGTTGTTTCATTTGGTTCACTCTTCTTCCCCCTTCCTCTCTCATTTCGTCTGGTTTTTCTACAATGCATAGATGTCCAATTTTCACAACTTACTAATTTTTTTTTTTTTTTACTGTTTTTCCACATTGCAGATGGCCCCCTGTATGATCCTACTGCTTACACTGAGGTAAAAGATAAATGCGAACAAATCATATGTGGGAATTGTGGTTTCATCACCCAGATCAATTGTTTTGTTAGGGCAGTGTAAGTTGCAGCCGGAGGAGCCTCTGTACGGCGGCGGGATCATCGTTGATCAGTTGGGAACCTCTACAAGCAGTGGAGTTTATTCACCATCGTTCGTACTGCACAATCTCACCCAGGGCACCATTTACTGTTTCTCCAGTTGGGTTTCTCAACTTTTTATCCTTCTCGTTAATTAACTATTTATTTCTCGGAAATTTAGGGTAAAAAATTGGTGGAGAAACGAAAAAAAGATTCCGTTGCCGGGACTTGAACCCGGGTCTCTCGGGTGAGAGCCGAGTATCCTGACCAACTAGACTACAACGGATTGCTGCTATGTTTGTCTTGTTCAACATATTTCTAATATAATAGATGAGCCATGAGCATACTGGGCTAAGCTTAGCTAGGCATTATGTCTAAACAAATTACCCAGAAAGACCAAAGCCCAGCCCAGCCCAGCCTATTGTGTCTAAAAAACTACCAAAGCAAGCATAAGCGTTATAGGAATAAAACTTAGGTAACCCTGATTCTTGAACTTGCATAAACCAGTGTCGAAGGCTTGAGGTCATTTGTAGATTGCTTAATATCTTTTGCATAAGGAAAACAAAATCACTCATGTACGCGTGACTGCACTGCACTAATTAGAGACTTACAACTTTAGCCACTTGTGGATATGACATTGGGCTCATATGGTTTGTGCTTAATCTAACAGGTTGGGTCAAGATAGAGGGTACAGGCTCAGGTCTCATAAGGGCAAGCCTAAGGACAGAAAATGAAATATATAACTGTGTAGGAACTGTTTTGGCTAAGGATAGATGCTGGTCATTTCTCAAGGGTGGCTTTGTCCTAAACTCGCCATCCCAATTATCCATCCTATTCTTTCAGGTAACTTTTCCTACTCGACGTATTTCACCACTTATCTTTTACTGTCCCCAAAAGTTTCAAAATTTAATGTAAATTTTTAATACTTTTGTTTCGATTGTGTATAGAATGCAGATGACAGTGCTGTAAACATAGAAATTGCCAGCTCTTCTTTGCAGCCATTTGGTGTTCAACAATGGAATGCATATCAGGAATATATGATCAACACTGTAAGTATATATATTTTCATCTGATTTGGATCTCTGGTTAATTTAACTACGAAAGACTGAAAGTTGTTAATTTTGTGTAATATTTTCTTTGTTTGTCAATAGAAACGGAAGCGTGCCGTGACGGTTCATGTCTCAGATATGCAGGGAAAGAGGCTGCAAGGAGCGGCAATTGACGTAGAGCAAGTCTCCAAAGATTTCCCATTTGGATCCGCAATTGCCAAGACCATTCTAGGCAATCTGCCCTATCAGGTTAGGATGCAGTCCATACTCATAGAAAAACTTGCGTGGATATTTGATGTAGGACAGAGTATGGCAGCGGAATTTAAATAATTTAGCGGAAGCAAAAACACATTAAACTTATCTTAAAACAATAGTAAAGGATAATTGGAATCACTCCAGCCCGTCCGCATCATTATGCTATCGTGTGACATTGTTGAGTGGCAGAACAGTTTAGTTAAAAAATGACATGTATTTAAGAAATAATTTTGATCATCAAATTTAACCAATGTTATCTTAATTTTAAATGAATTGTTTTGATACTCAACACTTTCACGTGACAATAATTGACCGATATAAGTTTTTCTCATACAATCGAGCCTTACGCTTGAAAGAATTGCCCTTTATGCAAAAACCAATCTCATAAGCAACATTACAATAACGAGAATGCTAAGCTAAGAATAGATTTTTATTGTGTTCAGGAAATAAAAATTTTGATCCTCAAATATAAACAAAGTCATCATTTAACTAAACTGTTATGTCACTCATCATTGTCACGTGACAGGAACAACCTCACATAAATTTTTGGCTTTTTAGCCAAAATGGTCCCTAATATATGCATAACTCCTCACTTTGGTCCCTGAGGTTTCAAATCAATAGAAGTGGTCCCTGAGATTGTCCATCATCCATCATTTTGGTCATTCCGTTCAAAACTCCGTTAAGTGTCCTGGAGCTCTTGGTTGGAAGTTTGGGCAATTTTCAAAACTTCATAACTCAATCGTTTCTTAACCAAATTCGACCCATAATACATCAAAATGAAGATAGGAAAGTGTAGAATAAGATTATACCTATTTAGAAGCCCAATAGTTACCGGAGATGGTCGGAAAATAGCCTCAAAGTTGACTGGTCCGAGGAAAAACTGGAAAACTCGCCGGAAACTAGACAAACTTTAAACGTTCATAACTTCTTCAATACTCAACTAAATCAAGTGATTCAAAAACAAAATTCATACTTCTCAATATGATGAAGATAATGATACCTTTTTCAGTGGTCAAATCGCCGTGTTTTTGCCGTAAAACGGCTCGAAAGTGGCTAACTCGAGACCAAGACAGCCACTTTCGAGCTGTTTTTCGGCCAAAAAAGAGCGAGTTATCCACTGAAAAAGGTACCATTCTCTTCATCTCATCGAGAATTATGATTTTTGTTTTTGAATCACTTGATTTCGTCGAGTATTGAAGAAGTTATGAACGTTTAAATTTTGCCCAGTTTCCGGCAAGTTTTCCAGTTTTTCCTTGGACCAGTCAATTTTGAGGCTATTTTCCGCCAATCTCCGGCAACCATTGGGCTTTTCAAATAGGTATAATCTTATTCTACACTTTCCTATCTTCATTTTGATATATTATGGGTCAAATTTAGTTAAGAAACGATTGAGTTACAAAGTTTTGAAACTCGCCGAAACTTCCGGCCAAGAGCTCCAGGACACTTAAAACAGATTTTTTAATGGAAAGACTAAAATGATGGATGGTGGACAATCTCAGGGACCAAAGTGAGGAGTTATGCAAATCTCAAGGATCATTTTTGGCTAAAAAGCCTAAATTTTTCTCGTAAAATCGAGTCTTAAGTTGTTTATGCAATGCATCAACATAGTCACATTGAGAATGCTAGCTAATAACAAAATTTACAATCCAGAATTGGTTCGCAAAACGATTCAATGCCGCGGTGTTTGAGAACGAACTCAAGTGGTATGCAACGGAACCTGAACAGGGCAAAACCAACTACACCGTTCCAGATCAAATGCTGCAATTTGTGCGTGCCAACCGAGTCATTGCTAGAGGTCACAACATATTCTGGGAAGATCCCAAATACACGCCGCCATGGGTTCGAAACCTCACTGGCAGCGAGCTGCATTTGGCGGTAAACTCCCGAATCCAAAGCCTAATGAGCCAATACAGAGAAGAGTTCGTCCATTGGGACGTCAGCAATGAAATGCTTCACTTTGATTTCTATGAGCAGAAGCTTGGCCCCAATGCCACATTGCATTTTTTCGAGACGGCACACAAATCTGACCCTTTGGCAACCCTTTTCATGAATGATTTTAATGTGGTCGAGACTTGCAGCGATGTAAATTCGACCGTTGATTCCTACATTTCAAGGTTGAGGGAGCTGAGGCATGGTGGAGCATTGATGGATGGGATTGGACTAGAGGGTCATTTTACAGTACCAAACCTCCCTCTAATGAGAGCAATCCTTGACAAGTTGGCCACATTAGGCCTTCCAATTTGGCTCACAGAGGTTGATATCAGCAGCACTCTAGACAAAGAAACACAGGTAAATAAGTTGTTACGCATAGGAACAGAAACTACGGTAGGACTGCCTGATTAGGATAGCTCTCACACTAGATGGGATCAACATCCCATGCTCTGGTGAGAGTGTCATACATATGACGTGGTCGGGCGTTCCTACCCAAGTTTTTCTCTACATAAAGGGCACGAAAAACTACGTGGAGTTGTTCCAACCACTTGCCTAGTTACAAAATGACATGTGTTCAACTTTAATGTTCGGGTTTTAAGCAAAGCATTTGGCACGACAGAAACAATCTCATGTAAAATTATTTTCTACTCCGGGACTAACCTACTACATTTTTTGTTGTTGTGCATAGGCAATTTATCTAGAACAAGTTTTACGAGAAGGCTTCTCACATCCATCGGTGAATGGGATAATGCTTTGGACTGCATTGCATCCTAATGGGTGCTACCAAATGTGCCTAACAGACAATAACCTTCAAAACCTACCTGCTGGTGATATGGTGGACAAGCTCTTGAAAGAATGGCAAACTGGGGAGGTAGAGGGCCAGACAGATGAGCATGGATCATACAGCTTCTATGGTTTCTTGGGTGAATATAGAGTAAGTATCAAGTATGGCAATAGGACTTCAAGCTCAACATTCTCACTGTGTCAAGGTGAAGAAACCAGACATGTTAGCATTCAATTGTGATACAATTGGATATCATATTCGAATGGACCTCGTAATCCTAAGAAATAGGTTGTTTAGCTTAGTAATTCTTTGATTCTAGTTAGTAAGAGGGATCTTGAACTAAGAAATAGATTCTAGAAGCTAAAAAAGGGTACCGAAAAATTAACGATACTTCTTTATCTTTGAATTGTTCTACCTGATCGGTCGCTCATGACCTTTGGTCTTCACCTCGACCTGATGATAAAATGGGTTATAAATTATGTCTCGCTAGGACATGTATTTCTATTACTAGGAAATTCATAAATGAAGTAGTTAATGGTGGAGTTACCATTTGTAGTGACAAATCTTGTATGTGTTCCAAAGAAAAGGAAGCTGTCCATTTTTGGGGTCTATTAGGGGTGTGGAAATACATAAGAAAAGGTATAATGACAGACCGAAAGGCTCAACTAGAAGGAATCGACAGAGAAGTTTTGTGTTATATATGATTCAAACTTAGGTCCAAAGCGGACAACATTATTTTATGACGAACTTGGCTACGCCCATATCTCCTAACTATATAGAGATTTAGTTTCAGCAAAAAAGTAGAAAATCCACAATTTAATAAGGAAAATCTATAATTTTGTATACAAATGGTTTTAGATAACCTACCGTTTGACCTCCTGAACTATTACTCGTGTTAAATTTGTCATCCTAAATGTGAGATGTAGACTACATAGGGGGACAATATTCTGCATATTAAAGCAACAACACAAAAAGAATTTAAGATGGGCAAGAGAAATGCTAAGAAAACTCTCTCAAAAGTCAGACTCTTTATAGACTCTCCGCCACCTCATCTTTTTGGCACAAATCCCGTGCTAATATTATAAAACATTATATCAAAAACATGAAGTGCGCGGAGACTCTCACTTTGGAGTCTCCTTAGCATTTCTCGATGGGCAATTAAGGATTCTAAATTCTTTAGAACCTCAGGAGTTAATGTTCTACTACATAGTTAGAATTATTTAGTAACCTACGGATTGACTCCTTGAATACTACTCCAGTTAAAATGGACCTTCCGAACTACTTTTTGATAAATTAACCTCCTAAACTATTTGAAATCAAAAAATTAACTCCTCACTATCAAAGTCGATGAAATTTCATTTACTTCGCCGTCAAATACTGGCACGGTTTTACCCTCAAGAGTTAATCATGTGCTAGTATTTGACAGTAAAATGGATTGAATTTCATTGAATTTGATGGTGAGGAGTTAACTAACTAATTTAAAACAGTTCAGGGACCAAAAAAAATAGGGGAACTTTAACGAAAAGCTCCCGGTAGTGTTTATTTTAACGAAAAATCACATTTTTACTCTAAAAAGTCAATCCTGGTACTATTCACTTACAACACATTTTTGTCATTTTCGTTAAAACTCAAAGTTTTTAAGCATTTTTCATTAATTTTCCTAAAAAATAATCCGAGAGATCAATCAATTTTAACTGGAATAATAATTCACGAGATCAAATGACAGTTTACTCGATAATTCTAACTAAGTATAAGAACATTAAGTCCTGAGGTTGTGAATAATTCAGAATCCGTAGTTGCCCATCTTAAATTATTTTGGTGCTGTTGCTTTAATCTGCAGAAATTGTCCCCCTGTGTAGCTTGTATCTCACATTTACTCCACACCAACTTCTTTACTACTTTTCTAAGATGCCATGATTCCCAGCAGACTTAACCTTTTGATACTCATGTAACAATTGCAATTAGGCCAAATTGGTGAATCTGCTTTCTAAAGTTTAGTCAAATTTGTCGACAAAAGTAGCACACGAGTGACAAATGTGACGGAGAATACAAACTTTTTGTAAGTATGAAAACACCTTATATGTGACCCAAACATGTATATTTTGCTGAAAAATTCATTAAAAAATGCAAATGTTAAAACTACATGCATCAAATTAGAACTTCGCCCAAACTACATTGGCCCAAAATTATAGTTTGAACTTGTAATTATGCACTCAAAAAAAAAAAAAAAGAAAAAAAAAATCTAAGGGAAGGGTCATTATTGTTTGTGTAATTATCCTACACAAACAGTGGTTAGGATATAATTGAAGGGTAATTATTGTTTGAGAAAAACTTGTCCAGGCACCAAGCGAGGTCATTAGAACGCAATAAATTGAGGATTTGATTCTGGTGGGAAGGGAAGGACCCACATTTTACTTAATGGAGAAACTGCTTAATACTACTATAGCATTATGAGTCCCCTTGTTCATTAAAATCTGATTGCCTGCAGATCAACATACGCCATCTTGAGTAACTTCCGTCAGCACGTAAATAGTTTGTAACTCAAGTAGTTAAAATCATTTATATAGTCATCTTTAGTTTTCTCTGCCTGATATCACTTGTATCAAAAGAAATGGCGAAAAAACTTCGATTAGGACTAATTAAGCTGTTCGCTTACGCCAATGTAAATAATCACTATGCGAATTTTGCAAGGATTGGTCCAAAAAGTCATTTGATGTTATGAAAATTTTCAAAGGTGGGCCAAAAAGAGCCTATATTCTCATCTCAAAAACTTCAACATCATGTTCCTTTTATGCAAATTTTCGGCAGAAAAGTTGATGGTCTATGATTACATCAAACATTAGAAGGTAGCTAATTATGTCATTTGCACAAATCTGCCACTATTCCTCCAAATCCCTCTTTATTTTAGTTGTAAAGATTTGTTTTGCATTTGTTCTTGGGTCCCCAAAACCCACTGACGATTAGGTTATTTCCCTTTGAAAATCCAACCTACGATTTCAACCCCAATGCACTCTCTCACCAAACAAAATAATAACATGGAAATAACTTAGGATTTCGTACCACCTCTTGTCTATAACGCTCATTATACGAACGCAACATGGTATGAAAATTTATCATACATAAGTTTTGCTCGATATTGAGTAGGAATGAGTGAGCAAAAAACGAGTTCTAAACTCAATGTAACTCCCATGAACACGACATATTTTCTTATCTTGTAATTGCACGTATTCAAAGTTTACTTCAACACGTGCTTGAACTCTCACAAATCGTAGGAAAAAAAAATTTAGAGAGATTAAACATAAACTTGAAATGCCCGCAAAGTGGTGCCTCTCAAACGGAAAGCAGCCTACAGTTTTACTCACGCATTCGATTATACACTTCCTTTTCAAGAGAAACCTTCACAAGCCACACACAAATTCTCTTTCTTTTGATACAAAATCAAAGCAGAAACAAAACCCAAAAACAAAAAGGCAGTCGAAGACCAAAAGAACGGTTTTCAATCCTCATTTGTTGCTTTAATAAGTACATAGCGGCGGAACCTTCAGACTTCAGAGTTCAGACAAGCTTTAAGTGGGAAAGAAAAAGGGCACTTACTACTACATGAAGGACTTGAACTACACCTCGGAATGCCAGTATGACATTCCAGACTAAATATATGACGCTAATGTATTAACTTTTCCACGTAGCATTGCATAATTAATTTAGTTCGAAATGTTAACCTATACAATGATCTCCGGATCTACGCTTATTTTCAACTCCCTAAAGCATTTCGTCTCTTACTATGCCTTTCCTTGTCTATGGGTACCTAGGCATCCAAGCATTTCCTCGTTAGAACCTTGCCCTTAACTTTATTTATGGGCTATGTCATCCTCTAAGGTGCTGCTGAATGGAGGGATATCTTTAAGATGTTTGAATGATCGATATATCATGGCATGGATCGAACTGCTTTTGAGAGACTGACACTTTAGCATTCTTGTTTGACATATGTTCTCACTGCGATAAAAAAGGGTAAAGAGCAACTCTTCTGATGTGTATGTTGCAATGATATTTGGAGGGAATGTTGATGGATTTTACAATCTTGATGAATCTGTCAGCGTTTCCTACCAAAGGCAAAACTCCGGTGACCACTTAAACACTCAAAACCTCGTGAAGAATTTACATTGAGGACCAACAAGCCAAGGAATCATAGAGTCGGAGGAAAACTTCCCATTGTCTTACATTTATGGTCACGTGCTATTCACATGATGGTGCATGAAAGTCAAGGGCTACAGGTAGAGATAGGACAAGAGGATAAATAAAGCTGCAGAGGCAGTGAGTGGGTGTAGAGTAGGGCGAGGTACTGCCTTAGGTGAGTCTCCCATGGCCAAACCAGCTAACCATGACCCATCTGCCAGCATTGCTTCACCAGCCCCCGTGCCGGAACCTGCCCCAGTACCCGTACCCGCACCTGTACCAGAACCAGACACTGCACCGCCTGAGCCGGCACCGGAATTCGAATAAGTAAACCCGGGATCCGACCCGGAAGTAGCAGCCCCTTGTGATGGTGTTGCTGTCATTGGTGTTGTTGAATCTCTAGAAGATTTCTGACTGCATACCCACATGATCAAATGTTAGAAGAAACCATATAAAACCAGCTAATTAATCAGAAACCCTACAAAGTGACAGTCCAAAGTGATGAAAATAATACATAAATCACATGCAAAAGCAATCTTACCAACCTAAATTAATTACATAAAAACCCAAATATTATAAGTAAAATACCCCAAAACTTAATCAAACATTAAAAGGAGAATCTTTGGCAGCATGGCATTGGCAATTAGCCACTAAACCACCCACAACAAAATGAAAATCACAAAAAGAGAGAATATTAGATCATATTTATATTTTAATTTTTCAAGGAATAATCATTAGCTTGTTGGGATTTTATCACATGTCAAAATTTATAAGGTCTCGTATATGAATTCAGCTCATAAAAATTTAAACGTAAATCCCTGAATGATGAAATACGTTCAACAAAAGTTTGTGAAGCAATAAGGCAAAAGCATATAGCTTTAATCTTTTTACCTTGGAGAAGAGGGGCAAAAGGTCACCGTATAATCAGCACCGGTGCACGTAAACGTACTCGTAGCATCGTCGTAGGCGTAGCTATATGACTTGGGGCACGCCGCCTTAAACATCTGCGAGTAAACCGACGGGCTACAAGTGTTAGGTGTGGCATACGCGCCGCTGCAACAATATTCGGGAGTTCCAAACGCCTCGCACGCGCTCTTACACGCGTCGCCATCGCCAACCCTCAACTCGGTCGGACACATCCTGTTCAGATCCGTGGAGCACCCGGTCGAAGCGCACTGACCCGACCCGCCAGTCCCTTCGACAAAAAGGGGCAAGTTGTACCCGTCTACTAGGCTGACGTCGTAGAAGTCCTGACCGCCGGTACCAAGAGTGAACTCGGCTAGCGTCGCAGGCGGGGCGGCTCCGGCTCCGTTGCATTCCACCTGGCCGGAGCCACAGTCGCCGGTGGTGCAGGACCCCGAACCGGATCCGTCAAAACTGCAGCCTGTTCGGGCCCAGAAACGACCTGACCAGCCGGTCGGGGCTTGGAATGTGCGGGCTGTTTGTTGGGGGAGCTCGAATCCGGTAGAGTCGAGCGTAGGACTGTTCGCATTTGCGAGAATGCCGGGCCATACTGTGTAGTCACATCTGTTGACGAATGTGAATGTCGTCGCTAAAACACCTGAAACACAAAATACATAGGGGGGAGAGAGAGAGAGAGAGAGAAAGTTGTGAACTTGTTAGTGAAAATGTGAGTTTTGACAGAGACCCAGATGAAATTACGGAAAACCCATGAAAGCAGAGAAGCCGAGAGAGTGGAAGTTTGGAGATTTACCTGTGGAAGCCATGGCAAGTAAGAGAAGAAGGCTGAAAGTGAATGAAGGTGAAGACGTAAAGAAGGGATCCATGTGGAGTATCTTATGATTTTTCTGAGTTGGGACCTTTCTCTAAAACAGGGAGGAGGTGGAGAGTGGGAATGAGCTGCGACGGCCTGTGAGGGAGGAGGATGGCGGTGATGTGGGAGGCTTTGGGAGTGAGGACAATGCAGGGGTTTAGGGAGGGAGGGAGAGAGAGAGAGAGAGAGAGAGAGAGAGAGAGAGAGAGAGTGATTGGAGGAAGGAAGGGAGCACTTGAGCGGGGATGGTGATTGCGGTTCAGTATGACAGCTAAAACGACAAAGTTGTTATGGGGGACTGAGCATGAGAGACACAAATCAATTATAAAACAGTAGCTAACTAGCTATGCAGTCTCTCTGACGGTCTCACCTTTTATGTTATCCTTTTTTTTTTTTTCTTCTCTCCTCTCTCTCTCTCTCTCTCTCTCTCTCTCTCTCTCTCTCTCTCTCTCTCTGTGCGAAAACTAATGAAAATGTTTTGAAAATTTTAAGTTTGAGCGAAAAGAACAAAATAAAAAATAAAATAAATAATGTCATAATTAATTTTTTAGTATAAAAATGTAGTTTTTTATTAAAGTAAACAGTAAGAAAATCTTTTTGTTAAAATTACCTTTTTCTTTTCCTCAAGATTATGACAAACAATATTATACTGATTGTCACCGCAAAAAAAAAAAATAATAATAATAATATTATACTGATTATTTAGGGGAAGAAAATAGAGTACATTCTTTTTTCTTTTTCTTTTTTTTCTTTTCAAACAAGATTACTTTCATAAAAATTAGTACAAGATCTAAAAAGATCTAGCTAAATAACAAGGAATAAAGTAATAAGTCCAAACAAAAAGAGAGCTGCAATTCAAAATACAACGAGAGACTCACACAAACTTAAACTTGAAAAAGGCAAAAACAAACAACAAAAAAAAAAAAACTAATCTCAACCAACGTAAACCAAACTCCAAACTGAGAAAGTAGATAACAAATTCAACTCTCTTTCACGAACCCCTGCAAATAAACAGAGTACCTTATGTATAGAAAGTGAGGCTAAGGAGTTATGTAAAATACCCATACTGTGGTGGAGGCCTCGATGGGAATCTGACATGTCAGTTGCTGGAAGGGAGGTGAGGGAGGAAAATGGATCTGATATCCAATGTGTGATTGGAGTATGCAAATCTGAACATGGGATGAGGTGGGGATGGAATAACACTGCTAAGACTATCTCCAACTCTTGGATTAAAACCTAAAATTTTTAGCTCAGAAAATTTAGGTTTTAATCCAGAAACACTTTTTTCTGCTCCAACCCTTCTGGGTTAAATTTTTAGCCCAAGATTATTAAATAATGAACTTAGGATTATTTTTTTCTCTTAAAGTAACATTTAAAAAAAAAATTATGTAGACTATCCTAATTTAATTTGATGAACATTATAACTTAAAAATATTTAGATTCCAATAAATATTAAAAAATCACTAAACCGACACCATGAAACTCGTGGATCACTATGAGAATATGAAACACATGAAAGAATTTTTTTTAATTACTTTAGTCGTTGGATTTAAATTTGGACCGTTGGATTTTTTTTATCGTTGTATTTGATCATATTAGATCTTACCTGTTGGATGCAATGAATTTATAAATATAAAATTAAAAAGAAGTACACAGATGTGGTGTAACGACTTGTCCCCAGATATTACAATTTTTATAAATTTATAACGTGAAATTACAAAAATGCCCTTCGAGACATTTTTGACCGCCTTGCCATGTCATGTAAGATCCATTCTCTTAGCATATCCTTATTGAACTCATTGCTACAAGCGCGTAGGTGCAAACGGAATTGGATTTGGAGTTACGATGAGCGTTTTGCGGAACTACGAAGTCAAAGGGCAAAATAGTCATTCCACTATTCTAGATATTAAAGTTTAGATGTTTTATTATTTAATTGATTTCTAGCACATGGGGCTCGCACCTCACTTCTCCTTCTACCACGTGTCTTTTCTTCCCCAATCTCTGGAACTCTCTCTCTTTCATTTTCTCTGTCATCTCCCCCTTCCCCCAAGCAACACCCACACACCTTTCTCTGGTAATCCACCCTACAGACTACCACCTTAACTCCTAGTTCTCTCTCGGCTTTCTTTTCCGCAGACTCTCCCCTTTCTCTCTGTTCCTCATTCTCACATCCCTCATTCTCTATTGAACCATCACCGGCCACCCCCACCCGCCATATTCGCCAACGAGTCTTCGCACTACCAAATCCCCACCATCACCTCATATTTAAGCTCTGAAGCAAGGACTACAACACGTAGGAAAATCAACTCAAGGACTCTAGACCTCTGTAACGATCACAGAGCCTTTTTGGTGAAACCTCTACTGTTCACAGGCTAGGCACGCCTTGAGGTTCATCTTCTCTTTTCCTTTTGATGTTTAGTTCGATTCCAAAGTCGACGTGCTCGTTTTGGTGAGCTCGGGATACAGAAAATATGATGATAGATTTCTCCAGTTTTCCGACGAGGAATCCGGTGGCTTCGAACCTTTTTTCGACTAACTCCGACCTCAGTCAACCCTCAAATTGGTAATTTCTTGTTCCCCTCTTCTTTAGCTTCATTGTGGTTCAAAAATCACTGAAAATGGTGGAGACTTGACCCCATATCGGAGTCGGGGAAGTTTCCCGACGAAAACCCTTGGATTTCCGGTGTTTTCCTTTATGGGGTCTGGTGACCCGCGAAGCCAATCGGGTCAACCTAGAAATAAGCGAAGCCAATTTGGGGATATCGAGGTTATGGCACGTTATATGGTAGGCCATCCTACTAACTCAGGGGGAATCCTAGCCTAAATTTACCCCTGAAATGAGTTTTAGGTTAAAATTCATATCCGCCCCAAGGGTTGGATCAAGTTGGGGTGAGTTTAGAATCTAAAATTTGAGTTTTACTCCAAGGGTTGGAGTAGGTCTACGGAAGAGGGATGAAGGAAAAGTAAATAACATAAAGCAATAAAAGGAGGCGAAAAACTCGGATAAGGGGCATGAAGCCTAAATATGAGACAATCTCAGGGGATAATTGAGACCAAACTAAAAAAAAAAAAAATTGAAATAAATGAAGAATGAAGAAGATTGGAAAGTATGAAGGAAAAGGGAGTGGGAAACTGTGGGGGGGAAGGGGCAGAGGAGATGAGAGAGGAAAGAAAGGGCAAAGGAGAATGGAGGGAAGGAGGAAGAAAAGAGAGAGGGAGTAGCAAGTTGTTGTTGACCTCGAGTAAGAGCAAAAGGCAGCGGCTGAAGCTTCAATCTAAGGTTAGGTTATTGAAGCAACATAGAAAGAGTTTACAGTTTACAGTTCACATCAGCAGCTTTATATTGAAGTGAGGTTTTCGAGAATAGAGTACATTCTTATTGTATTATTGATTTGAGGTATCATAATAATTGTATATTCATACCGTATAAGTTTCTTCACAAAAAATAAAATAAAAAATTGTATCATCTCTCTTATAGAAATGAGATTCACATGTGTTGGTAGACTCTACCTCTGTTAGAAAGATGGTACAAATATGTGTTAAATGTAGCATTACTATAAAGAAAAAAAAAAAAAAACACACACACACACACATATTGTAACAATCCACATCGCACAGGGGAGTGGATCTTGTAAGCCGTATATGTATATTCTCATCTCTACCTAGCACGAGACCTTTTGAGAGCTCACTAACTTCGGGGTTCATCGGAACTCTGAAGTTAAGCGAGTTCGCACAAGAGCAATCTCAGGATGGGTGATCCACTGGGAAATTCTCATGTGAGTTCCCAGAAATAAAATCGTGAGGGTTTGGTCGGGGCCCAAAGTAGACAATATCGTGCTACGGTGGAGCGGGCCTGAGGCCGAAGCTGGGATGTGACACATATATATATATATATATATATATATTAAACATTAATGCTTCATTACAAGTGTGGAAGAGAGACTTTAGCATGATGGGTTCAAGGTCACTGTGGTGTTTCAAACCATTAATATAGGTCATGCGAAAACTCTTACATAGTGCTAGTGGCGAAGCCACCTCAGCATAATGAGTGGTGGCCGCCCTCAGGTCTTCAGAAATCCTCATGAAGAGCGAGGAATCCACCCATGTAAACCTACACGGAAAGTGTTTAACAAAATGCTTGAATGTATATCTTCCCCCATATCAGAGATTTCATGCAAAAATTGGTCACTATTCGTGAAATTGCCAAAAATTAGTCAATATTTCCATGATTTTGATGCCCAAACACAGCCTCAGTGGATTAGAATCTCCCCTAAGCAAATGGTTAGGATCCTCCTGACCAGGCCCATCGGGCTGTTCAAATTTTATCCAACGACTACAAACAGGGGGGCCCTCTAAAAGTTATAATAATTATAGCCGTTAAATAAAATTTGAACGGTTCGATGGGATTGGTCAGGAGGATCCTCACCATTTGCTTAGGAGAGGACCCTGATCCAACCTGAGTGACCAGAAAAAGATGCCATGGTTGCCTCTTTGTGGCAAAAGCGGCCATGTAGAAGAAAGCCTAAATCTGACCTAATTTGATGATAAGACGACGTCGTTTTACTGAAAAATGTGTTTGGTATCTTTTTTTTTTTTTAATTTCTTTTAGTACATTGATATTTTTACCCTAAGGAGATAGGGAGTTCGACTAAGCCACACAATGAACAACCTAATTTGATATTGAATTTGCCATCCACAAGATTCGAACCTAAAACCTCTCACTTCTAAGTAAAAAGGAATACCATCAAACCGTAGTTCTGAGTGACGTGTTTGGTATCTTGGCAATTAGCATTATTCCGTTTAATTTGGATAAACTCCAAAAAGGTACACAAGATTAAAAGATAATGATGTTAATAAAATGTTCCCAGTAGGTAGTAACTAATATTTACATAAAACAAATTTACCTATTTGACATAATATAGATTGGAACTTTAATAGCAAAATATGCTATATAATGAAATTAATTAGAAATAAAATACTTAATTCTATACCAAATATTACTTTTACTTATGAGATATCTTTTCAAAATATACGTCAATATCTCTATAAATTGAGTTATCAATATTTCTGTTAACATCAATATTTAAAACCTTGAATATAATATGATTATTGATTAATTGAATTGTTGTTTAATTAGTTATTAGTCATAGTACACTTTAGGACTAAGACATGTTTTCTCATTATACAGTTACGTAATGAGACAATACTATAAGAAATGGTGCTTAAATCCTACTTTAAACAACACCGTTAGTTCAATCCACTTTCGAATATTTTGGTTAGTCCAAATCCTCCTTTGAATATTTTGGGCAATTCACAACA